TTTTATGCAAAAAGTCCATAAGGGGTTTCCAGTCACCAATAAATGTAGATATTGTCCTTTCTCTAATCAAAGAAATCAGTTTGTCCAGCTCAGCAAGATTTGTCAGTTTTACCAACCATTCCTCCATAGTGAGTAGGGCCAAATCTTTCCAACTTTGTACAGATAATAATCTTACTGCAGTAATCATATACTGAAATAATCTCCCATGACTCTTTTCTAACTGTGTATCCATCAATTTTAAAAGGAAAAGTTCTGGCTTCAATTGAATATTAATCTTCAAAATCCTCTGTATCAATGCATGTACTTGAATCTAAAATTTTTAAACTTTTTTATATGTACACAAGTATGGCAGAATGTCCCTTCATATTGTTCACATTTCTAACTTACATTTGAAGTGCCTTTATACATTCTAGGTAATTTATCTGGCATCATGTACCAATGATATATCATTTTATAAAAATTCTCTTTAAGATCATAATATAATGTAAATTTCAACCCTTTTAGCCCTATATTTTCCCATTGCTCCATCTGTATGTTATAACCAAAATTCTTAGCCCACTTTATCATACATTCTTTAACCTGTTCTTCCTCTGTCTCAAATTTCGACAAAAGTTTGTACACTTTAGCAATTAAATGTTCATCATCAGTGCACAAATTCTGTCTTACTTTGCTTCATACCATAAGTCTTTTTGTCCATTTTGAATCTTTCTGATAACTGTAAGTGAGAAAGCCATTGACAATTATATCTTTCTGCTATTAGTTGCTCTCTTGATTTAATCTTATATTTCCCTTCATGATTTTCCAATAATTCCTGCTTTGTCAACCCGGTACATCTTTGCCTGCTGTTTCCCTTCTGTGGAATGCTTCTTGAGCTGAGATCCCCAATGGTATTTTCGGGCACAACCTGGGTTTATATTTATTCCATATCCTTACTATGGCACAACTAATAACATGATTTTAAAAATCCACATTCATTTTAACTTTATTGTACCGTAAGTATCCATGCCATCCAAACCTTAGGTCATGGATTTCTAACTCTAAAAGTCTCTTGTTTCTCAGCAACATCCATTCTTTCATCCAGACCAAACAACAAGCTGCAAAATACAACTACAAATCTGGTAAATCCAGTCCACCAGAAGTTATAAGGAGCCTCTTCTAGGTTAACCAGAATTGGCAGGATAGTCTGAGCAGATGTTCATACTGTACCTATTAGGTTTGGGCATGATCCTCCTCTCAAGGACTTGCCCATCTTCGGAAAATGCAAAATGAAATTGACTGATGTAATTTCATGATTATTATACATCATAAATTAAAAAAAATCAAAGATTGTATTCAAATATTTAAAACATACAATTTCATGTGGAGAATCTTAGGTTCACACACTTCAGCTCTGTTTTTTTCTCACAAAACTAGAAAGGCAAGGAAGAAAATAAGATGACATAATTGATTGTTGTTGTGTCATTCTCTTAAGAACAAACCATTGTTTTACTACATCCATGCAGTCATAAATCTTCTTACATTTACAACTATGAGCATAATCCAGCTAATGGTAGGAACGTCAATATCCTATAGGCCCTAATAAAAATAACTAGGAATGAAAAGTACTTTTGGGAGGCTGTGTGCAAGATGGTATCTTAATTAAATTACAATAGTATGATGCGTTTTTGCTTTTAAATCATAGAAACAGAGGAAATAAAGAACCCAATCATGGCCTTCTGCTGGGATGGGTAGGTGCTAGTGAGTCATGAGTCATCACACATTTGATATCATCATGGCTCACTAGAACCCAATTCAGAACTTAAAGTTAACTTGGTGGGAAAAAAATACACAGTTCAGAAAACTCTGTATATGAGGTCATTGCAGGAACATCAAGGAAATGTAACTCTGAATTTAATACTGCAGTTGCATGCTTATTGCTATCAAGGAAACATGAAGGTTGACTCTCCTCCATGCTCCTCATTCAGATTTGGAAATTATCTAAACCCACAAAGCTTGGTGTTTTCTAATTCATTTTTGTTTGCAACTGTAACAGAACAAGCTCAGAAAAAAAGACTGAATACAGCTGCAACATCCGCTCAGTTATCAGGCATAACCACATTGGAATATTTTTATGTCTAGCTGTGACAATTCAAAAGGAGCTGGAATAGATTCAGAAGGCAGCTAAAAGGGTTTAAGGGGCATAAAAGAAAAGTGCTGTTTGTTTTTATTTCATTACATTATTTTTTTAATGTATGAGTCATTTGCTGCCAGAATAAGTCTCACAGCACATTACTAATAACAGTAAAATTCATTAAACTGACATACTACCCTGTAATTTTTTTTTAAAAATGTAGTGAAACAGTAGTTGATAAACAATATCTGCCATCTTAGATTTAGTCCAATCAGCAGCAGCAGCAAATTAAACTAAACTAAGTAATAAAAAAGACTGCAAACATTTTCCTACCATAATCCTGATGGTGGCCATGAAATCAGCAGCTACCCTGACAGGATACTGAATATACTGGATACTGAAATCATAGTGGGAGTCCTACGTACCAAATCCAAGACCATCTCCATTGCTTCTAATAATAAGGCAGCTAAGCACTGGGGTGAGTCCTAGTCCAAAGGATCCCTAATCTGTCCCAAATGAGTCACACAAGATGCCAACACTGAAGACTGGTACTGAAACAGGCAAGAAGCCTGAAATTCCTGTAGAGAGTCTCCTGCTCTCCCAAGTGACTTTCTTTTCCAAACTGCCTTTAACATTGTGTTTCCACCACCCCCTTTTTTTTTTTTCCTTCTTGACTCACTGAATTCTTTGATTTGGGGAGCGAGACTCTTCTGGTAAGAAAAAGATAGAGACCAGAAAAGCCTCTACCCACCCAGGATTTGGGAAAAAAATGGGGGGGGGGGAATGGGGGGGAACAAAGCCAGCATTTATTTATATTTTATTTTATTTTTATTTTAACAAATCTGTATGGCCACTCTTCTTAAAACAACTCTGGGCAGCTCACAATAAAATTATAAAAACATAAAAACATATAAAAAGCTAAAAATACCTAAACATCCTTCCAGTTACTGTGTTGTCTGATCCTAGTGATACATTTTACCTTTACTAGTTATGACCCATAACATTTCTAAAACATACTGTATGACTCAACTTCCCAAAAGACAATGTAAGGGATACAGTATTTGGAACGAC